AGTGTGTGTATGTGGCTCTTAAAAGAGCCGTTGGTTTTACTGAGTGGTCTGAGATCAGCCTCAGCTGGTGCGGGCTGAGTCTAAGCCCTCTCTCCGCGGATCCTGCGGGCCAGCTGGATGTCTTTGGGCATGATGGTGACCCTCTTGGCGTGGATGGCGCACAGATTAGTGTCCTCGAAGAGACCCACCAGGTAAGCCTCGCTGGACTCCTGCAGAGCCATGACGGCGGAGCTCTGGAAGCGCAGGTCGGTCTTTAAGTCCTGAGCGATCTCCCTGACCAGGCGCTGGAAGGGCAGCTTGCGGATCAGCAGCTCTGTGGACTTCTGGTAGCGGCGGATCTCTCGGAGGGCCACGGTACCGGGCCTGTAACGGTGAGGCTTCTTGACTCCGCCGGTGGCCGGGGCGCTCTTGCGGGCAGCTTTGGTGGCCAGCTGCTTCCTGGGAGCTTTTCCTCCGGTGGATTTACGGGCGGTCTGCTTGGTTCTTGCCATCTTGGTTTATTAGCTCTCTGTGTGTTCACAGCGAAACAAGGAATACTGACACACTGTCAACAGCCGCCTTATAAAGGAGCTGCCGGAGACAGGGCGGCGCTCATTGGTCCAGGCCGGGACCAATGAGCACGCGCACTCAGGCTCATCAGCTATTGGTCAAAACAAATTCGAAATATAAAGCGCGCGCACAGAGGCTGGTCTAAAGAGAGAGTTTGAGACTCAAAGTGAGACAGGTGTACGATCAATAATCCCAAAAAAGGCCAAATGTACGATAATTTGATGTTTCATGAATGTGTGGTTTTAATCAGTATGCTGGAGTTTTTGTGAGCCCTGAAGGCATCTGTTCCCATGTGACATGTTTCCAGCCAATCACACTTCAAAGTTCAGCGAGAATAAGATTCAAAACAGAAGAAAAACAGAAGCAAGGAAAATGGAAAATAAAGTAAACACTAGAGTGACTATATTTAAGCAGCATCACACTGGAGGTCGTGACGTTGTACTGTGTCACAGCCGTGATGATATACAGTCCAACGTCACTCCCTCCAGTGTGATGTTGCTTTTATCCAACAGGTCAACAACAGCTTAAACAGCAATGCTGAGTAAGGAAATGTTAACAAAAGGTGATGAAATAAATTATTTAAGTATGTTATGTAGCTCCACAAAAAAACAGTTCCCCCGGTCTGTTGCCAGGCAACGCAGCACACACGCCAGGAACTCACTAGCTACCTTGTATTTACATTGATCTGCAGCTGTGTAACTTCGTCCAGTTCAAACCTGGATGTTGGCACGGCCGGACTCAAACACACCTGGAGGTCTGCACACAAGAGTCCTGGCTTTCCTTTTCCTCGTCCTCTCCTGACGACCTCTCACAATTTAATTCACATGTAACTTTGGGGGAAATATCCATCTTCTTGGTGTAACGCTATAGTGTCAGTTTGTGTCAGTGTAGCGAGTGTGACAGCTGGTTAATTAACGGTTGTGTTTATATTTATAACACCTGTGAGCGGAGTGATTTTACTGTTACATGTCCCAGTGATGTTATACTCTATATCAGCACTCA